ATGGATGAACTTGGAGGGCATTATGCTAAATGACATAAGTCAGAGAAAGACAAATACTGTATGATATCACTTACACGTGAAATCTAAAAAACACAACAAACTAGTGAATAAAACAAAAAAAGCTGACTTGCAGATATAGAGAACAAACTATTGGGGAGAGGGAAGCAGAGAGGGGCAATACAATTGGTAGGGGATTAAGAGGTATAAGCTATTATGTATAAAATAAGCTACAAGGATATACAACACAGGGAATATAGCCAGTATTTTATAATAACTATAAATGGAGTATAACCTTTAAATTTGTGAATCACTATACTCTATACCTGTAGCATATAATATTGTACATAAACAATATTTAAATTTTTTAAAAATAAATATAAAGGAACCAGGAATTACTGAGCTTGAAAATAAAACTATTTGTCATTCACATCTCTCAACACGTACCCAGCTCAGCTACATTTTAGAATTGCTATGAATTGCTGTGTACTTGAATGGGAGTGTCTCTAGTGGTTATTTCTATGCCTTTCCCACCACTTCGAGTTTGTGAAGGGTAGAGGGTGGGGGCCAGATAACTACTTCTTTAGCTCACAGAAGGAAAAATAGGGAGAAAGCTTTCAAGGAACTGTACCTGAGGAACTGTGCTCAAAGATCCTCATCTGCATGTGGACCTGATACAGGTGACAAGATCCTGGACTTCACACTGACGCTCTAACGGGGTGAAACATGGGAGTCTTGAGGAAGATGAGTGTATTTTGCATGTAGGAGGGATGTGAATGTTTACATTCAGAGGGTAGACAGTAGCAGATTGTATTTTCTGAAAATGGCACAATTTCTCCCATTCCATAGGCTCCTCATATACTATGATTTAAATCCTCTTCTATCAAGAGATGTGGGAGTGTGTTACTTCCCCTTGGATCTGGGCAGGCCTGTGACTGTGGTGGAACTGAAGCTATGTGACTCTCTTTCTTTTTTTTTTAATTTTTATTGGAGTCTAGTTGATTTACAATGTTGTGTTAGTTTCTGCTGTGCAGCAAAGTGAATCAGTTATACATATACATATATCACCTCTTTTTTTAGTGAAGCTATGTGACTCTTGAGGCTGGATGATGAAAGCTGGTTCTCTTGGGAGTTTTGCATTTGGGGTCCAGCTACCATGCCGTGAGGAAGCCCAAGCAGCCTGTGGAGAGGCCCGTATGGAGAGAACCTGAGGCCCCTGGTTGAGCTCACAGCTGACAGCCAGCACCAACTTGCCAGCCACATGAATGAGCCTCTTAAAAGTGAATCCTACAGCCCAAAGTTGAGCCGCCCCAGCTGAAACAAAATGGAACAAAGATGAGCTAGTCTCACTGAGTCCTGCGCATGTTACAGATTCTGTGAGCAAAATAAATGATTGTTGTTGTTTTGAGCCACTAAATTTGGGGGTGGATTGTTATACAGCAATAGATAATTACAGAACTGATACAACCCCTGTGGAGGTCAGTTTGACAATATATATCAAAATTGCAGATTCATATGCTCTTTTGGATTCTAGAGGTAGACTTACATGCAATTGCAGAATAATATACATAAAAGATAATTCATTACAGCATAATTTGTAGTAGCAAGAGAGTAGAAAGCAGCTAAAATGTCTGTTAATAGACTAGTTAAATAAATTGTGGAACATTCACACTGTCCCATCCCGCTATAAAAAAGAATGAGGAAGATATCTATGAATTGATGTGGAGGGATTTCCAGGATAAGCTGTTCAGTGAAAAAATATCAAAGTGCAAAAGAGTATTTGTAAAATGCTACTTTTGTGTAAGAAAGAAGAGGAAATAAAAATATGCATATAGGGCTTCCCTGGTGGCGCAGTCGTTGAGAGTCTGCCTGCCGATGCAGGGGACACGGGTTCATGCCCCGGTCCGGGAAGATCCCACATGCCGTGGAGCGGCTGGGCCCGTGAGCCATGGCCGCTGAGCCTGCGCGTGCGGAGCCTACGCTCCGCAATGGGAGAGGCCACAACAGTGAGAGGCTCGAGAGGCTCGCGTACCGAAAAAAAAAAAATGCATATAGGGACTTCCCTGGTTGTGCACTGGATAAACTCTGCACTTCCAATGCAGGGCGCCCAGGTTTGATCCCTGGTCAGGCAACTCGATCCCACATGTATGCTGCAACTAAGAGTTCACGTGCCACAACTAAGGAGCCCGTGAGCCACAACTAAGGAGCCCACCTGCTGCAACTAAGACCCAGCAAAAACAAATTAATATTTTAAAAATATGCATATAGATCTATTTGCTTGTTTGAGCAAAAAGAGACATTGGAAGGGTAAACTTGAGTCTAATGAGTTTGGTTACTTGTAGGGCTTATATGGGACTGGGGTGAAAAAGAGGGAATGGAGTGGGGTGGTATGGGAGGAGGGCTTAAAATTGAATACAAACAGAAACAATTGAACCAAACTGTACTTCAAATTACTGATATATCCACACTGAAAAGGAGTTAACTTTTGAACCTAAATAGTTATGTATACTCTATGTCCTCAGGCTAAAAGCAAAACAGTTCTAAACAGTGAACTCTCATTTGTAAGCTTGTTTTGCACTGAGGCACGTGTTAGCAATACTGAAACCACTTTCTTTACATTCTAGGATTGAGCAAATAAGCAAATTCACTGTGCATAATAGGAGCCAGGTTTCTCATGGTCAGAGAAGGGAATTACAGATATGAAAAGAGAGGCGGATGGAATGAACCTTGCCATGTTGGATTAGAATTAGAGGTGTCAGTGTGGACTCATGGGTTTTAATACATATAACTAAATACAGAATTGGGTATGGAGTTGTGTGTGTATACATACATCATTATATATATTCCTCTCTTTCCCAGGTGCGACCCCTGAGAGGGCCTAGAAGCAGTAATACTCCAGCAGCATTGGACACATCTAGTGCCCAGATATTGGTGTCCAAGTGCCATTCTCCATTAAAAGGAACCAGACATAGCCACTCAATATTTGACCAACAGAGCAGAACATGACAGACTGTGACCCTGTAGATCTTCTAATGGGAAGCAGAGCTGCTCAGTATTTGACCATTAGAAGGAATCAGGGATCCTTTGAGAAATGGCTGATTCCAGGTTTGGAGCAGGAAAAGCACAACATGAGCCTTGAAAGAACATCTTTCTATCCCAAAAAGTAAAGTACTCAAAGAATGATAGGTACATTTCAAAAGAACAAAGAAGCGAGTTTGAAGGGGCTGCTTCTGGCTAAATCTAGGACCATCTGAGCATTTTTAAAATAGTGATAGTAAATGATTATAACTTAAAGAATAAAATAAGTAAGTAAATCCACCTCATATAAATTAATGAATAAATAGGAAGGGAAACTTCTTCAGCACAGTAGAAAGCCAACTAATAATGTACAAAGAGTGTTGGCATTAGAAAAGCACCATGAAAATTACAGTTGGTTCAGGCAAGAATTATCAGTGAAAGCCAAAATGAGTGGGTGAAAGTTTGAGGAGGAACAAAGTATCTCCCCCACAAGAAACTTAGTAATTACAGAATTCAATAGTAATCTTCCAAGGGAAATTACTGGTAGGTAACCACCTTAACCAAATTATCAAAGTTAACATTGCCAGTAATGGAACTAGTCAACAATGCGTACAATTCACTGAGAAGAACCCAGCATCGCTCCTGAACTATTCCTGCCATAAATGCATAGTGTGAATCTGCTCATGATGAGACATTAGACAAGCCCCAATTGAGGTTTATTCTACAAAATAACTAGCCTGTGTTTTCAAAATGTCAGTGTTAGGAAATACAAAGAAGGGCTGGGGAACTGCTGCAGATTCAAGGAGACAAAAGATACAAGACAATCAAAAATCTTGATTTTTGTTATAAAGGACATTATTAGGACATTTAGTGAAATCTGAATAAGTATATAGCTTAGACAACAGCACTGTATCGATGTTAATTTACTGATTTTGATCATCCTGTTGTTACGTAAGATAATTCCTTGTATTTAGGAAATAAACAAATTTTTTAGGGGTAAAGGGGCATCACCTCTGCAACTTACTCTTTTTTTTAATAAATTTATTTATTTTTATTTATTTATTTTTGGCCGCGTTGGGTCTTTGTTTCTGCTCGCAGGCTTTCTCTAGTTGCCGCGAGCGGGGGCTACTCTTCGTTGCGGTGCGCCAGCTTCTCATTGGGTGGCTTCTCTTGTTGCGGAGCACGGGCTCTAGGAGCACGGGCTTTAGTAGTTGTGGCACGCAGGCTCAGTAGTTGTGGCTCACGGGCTCTAGAGCACAGGCTCAGTTAGTTGTGGCGCACGGGCTTAGTTGCTCCGCAGCATGTGGGATCTTCCCAGACCAGGGCTCAAACCTGTGTCCCCTGCATTGGCAGGCGGATTCTTAACCACTGCGCCACCAGGGAAGTCCCTCTGCAACTTACTCTTAAACAGTCCAGGAAAATTATAGAAAGAGAAAGGGAGAGGATGGGCTTTTTCTTTTACTGATCCCAACATGCATCACGTGCCTTCTACTCTCAACCTATTTGCCCTTGTTGCCTTTTTTTTTTTTTTTTCTTTTTAAACACACTGGAATATTCTCTCTCCTCTTCTGTCTAAAGCTTAAAAATCTGTTAAGGTTGTACACATGATCCACCAACTTGATACCTACTTTCACTATTTCAACATATCCTGAATTCTTTCAATTCTGAAATCTTAATAGCATGAATTTTCCATGTAGCTTTTTAATTGTTTAGATGATACGAGAGAGTTTCCTCTGCAGCAGGTTGTAAAAAGCCTAAAAGCAAGCATTATTTCATGCATGTTTTTAAACCTGTCTTGAAAGATGATAGAAGATAGAATTGTTGCTTCCAAAATTTTGACCTGGATTACTCAGAGCCCTGAAGACTTTCAGCACAACTCTTTAGACATCCTAACCTTTGTCTACTGCAGCACCTTTGCCTCTTCCCCTAAGGGCCCCTGTAAAAAAAAGTTTTCTGGCTGAGCAAGGATGTACTTGGTGTTTCAGGAATCACTGACATTCCAGGATGTGGCTGTGGAATTCACCAGAGAGGAGTGGGACCAGCTATACCCTGCTCAGAAGAACCTCTACCGAGACGTGATGCTGGAGAACTATAGCAACCTGGTTGCACTGGGTAAGGATGGCATCCCTGTAAGACTGGAACTCATTCTACATGGGTTTCTTTCCTTTAGTAGTGAAAACCTTCGAAGCTTTTGTGTATATAGTTCAGGCCAGGATGGAAGAATGCTAATCAGTTTTGGAGACAGAGACCTCTGTTTTTTGCTTTCTTCTCAGGTAAAAGGTCCTGATTTTGAGATGGGTAGCTTTAGTTTGCTGCCTCTGAAGCCTCCCCTTTCCAAATCCGGAGGCCCTATAGATTAAACAGGTTGGAAATGAGTTCTGAGAGAGATTTTTGTTCCCAGTATAAAATTCTAAGATACACATTTTTTCCCATGAATAGGGCATGAACTTTATAAGCCGGAGGTGATCACTCAGTTGGAGCAGGAGGAGCAGTGGATGATGGAGAGAGACAGCCCACCAGACACTCATCCAGGTGAGAAGCAAGCATTTGGGTGTTTGCACCTCAGTGAAGGAAAATAGTCGCTTTTGAAATACTTAACTGAGTGTGTTACAAACATCTGCCTCTGGGATTTAAAGAGGCATGCTTCTTAAAAATTCAGTTCATATTTGACATTTTTCCAAAGTGGAAATGACTCTCTTACTTTTTTTCTGATTAAACAGATAATATATACTTATTATTTTAAAAACTTACACAACACAAATTTATTTTGAAGGTGTTAGTTTGGATGTCCATAAATACCTTGATGTTGCAAATCTCCATGACGCATTTTCTTTCTCTCTTTATTCATACATCCTCTCGGTATTCTTTAAATCTTTTTCTTCTCCATATCAAAAATCCTCTGCCATTTTTACCCATTTTTCGTTCTTTTGTTTTTCTTTTTATTATCAAACACGTTAAACTTGTCTAAAACCCATAGCCTCAGTTCTAATTCTCTAGCTCACCTTTGTGATGTGACAAAGGTGTACTACCAGTGTTACTAAAATTGTTTTCTTGGAGATTACCCCTGACTTCCTTCCAGTCAAATCCAGTGACTAAAAAACCACAGTTATTGTCTCCTATGATTGTGTTGCATTTAACTGTGCTGACTTGACTTTCTTGAAAGTACACTCTGGCTTGTGATACACACCATTCTTGCCTCTTCTGGCCTCTCCCCTGTCTCTCTACCTGCTCCTTTAAATACCCTCTCTCCCTCCTTATTCTTCTAAAGGCATATATTCTTATGGACTTGGTGTTCACTCTGTAGTATCATGCTTTTAAGTGGCCTTTCTATGTTCATTTTCCCATTTCTACATTTCTAGCCTCAGTATTTCACCCACATTCTCTTCCCAGATTTTAGATTATATTTGTGTTTATGAATGTCATGCTATCTTTTTTTTTTTTTTTTGGCTTCATTGGATCTTCGTTGCTGCGCACGGGCTTTCTCTAGTTGCAGTGAGTGGGGGCTACTCTTCGTTGCAGTGCGCGGGCTTCTCATTGCGGTGGCTTCTCTTGTTGTGGAGCACGGGCTCTAGGCACGTGGGCTTCAGTAGTTGAGGTGCACGGGCTCAGTAGTTGTGGCTCGCAGGCTCTAGAGCACAGGCTTCAGTAGTTGTGGTGCATGGGTTTAGTTGCTCCATGACATGTGGGATCTTCCCGGACCAGGGCTCGAACCTGTGTCCCCTGCATTGGCAGGCGGATTCTTAACCACTGCGCCACCAGGGAAGCCCCTGTATAATGCTTGATGAGGGTGTTCATCCTTAGCATTGCCCACCCTCCTCTTAAGGGCAGTTGCAGTCATGTCTACTAACATAGGGGCTCGGGTTAGGTGAGGAGCTGGAGCAAAGAGACTAGAGTTTGTTTTTCAAAACTGCTTTAAAGCCCAAGATAATCATTGTCTCCATCTGGAGTCTAGACCCTGTCCCCTGGCGTCTTGCTGGGTGGCAACCTTTTGGTTGAATATCTGATGTGCCTTGAGGGTGTCTACCATGGGGGAGCAGTGCCTGTACATTTCATGCACTATCACTCCTCCTGGTATGTTGATCAGGCTGCCCTGTTTCCAGGGATAAATGAAAGTTCTGGAAGATAGGCCTTAGGCAGTGAATGCCCTGAAATCTACTCCTAGGCTGTAGGAGCCTAGAGCACCACACTTACCTGTGGTGCCAGGAGCCAGGTCAGCAGCCTGTGGATTTTGATGCTAAGAGAATAGAAAAGACAGTGTTCTGAGCTCCAGCCAATTATTCCAACCGTTTTAGAGCCAAAGTTCCTGAGCAGACAAAAGCATTTTATCTGAAAATAAAGTGGTCCAGTTGATAATTCGGTTGAAATGATAAACTGGTTTAAAATAAATCCTTTAAATCACATTTTTTCCACCTATAATTTAATTCTTGACCAGAGTAAGTTTATTTTCTGACTTGGACTTTTTTTTCTTTTTAAAATTTCTATTGCATGTTCAGCCAACTAACTCATCATTTGTGATAAGAATAAGCCCGAAGTAACCTAAATGTGAATTGACTTTGGCACATCCATAAAATTGGATATTTTACAGTCCTTTAAAAATTATGTAGAAATGTATTTGATGACATGGAAGTGTGTTCATGCTATGCAATAATGTAAGAAAGCAAAATAAAAAACAGTATTATGGTATAATTCTATTTTATTTTCCCAGGACAGTTGCTGGCATAATTATTTATTAATGTTGCCTCTTTTGCTGTCAAGTGTCCTTGACCATAAGCATATGTGCCAGCTTCAAGGGGACCACTCGTACAGCTTTGTATATACCTCCCCTGCGGGTAGAAGACCAGGACTAGTGCATGATTCACATCTGAGAAAGCTAAAGCAGTACAAGGCCTGAGAACAGCTGACTCTGACTAAGGAAATGGCTTTGATGGGTGAGCCAGGAGAAGCTGCTGAGTTAGGATCAGTCTGCGCTACCCAAGTTTTGTTGGGACAAGGTATTATGAGTGTTTTCATGAGTCAGCCAACATGATCTCGTCCAATAGGGTTCATTCATGCCCTAAGGCTGGTCCCAAGGGATTACCCAAAATTGAAATATATCTATCCTAGATCACGGAAATGACTGGAGAGAGAGGGGTCTAGCTAGAACCTTCCAAGAGTCATAAAAGTTCCCAAAAGTGAGTCTGTTTTAAACATCCACCAAGCTGAGAGTGTGAAGCTACTGTACAAAAACTGGCCTATCTCTTGATCTCTCTTCCCTCCACACAGCTGCTACCCTCCAACTCTTGTTAGAAGGGAATTAAACAAGAGTTAGTGAGTGAAGGAAGAGGTGTATAGGGAAATAGTTAAGGGGAGAAATAAAAAGAGTAGAAGCAGGGAAAAGACTAGCAGGGAAGGAGTAGAGGGGGGGAGAGCCAGGGAGAGAGAAGGAGGAATATTGACTCTGTAACAGCCCAAGGAAGGGGAGAGGGATTAATTTTGAAGTTTTGAATACTATACATGACTGAACACTTTAATTACTGAATAGAGACTGTTTGCAGCGTTATGTAAGAGTAGGAGTATCTGTTACCTAATAATTAAAGGAAGAGCATGGGTCCTGCCCAAATCTTCATACAGAAGCAGAGGAAAAATACCCCCACTAAATAAAGTTTAAAGAAGCAGTGGGAGACTGAAATGAAATTTTGTTTTTACCACAATCCATGTGTCATGTTTGTTCAAAATATGGTTACATTTATATTTATGTGAATATAGGAGAAATCTGGCAAGAGAGGCTCCAAACTTAACAATGATTACATTTAGGGGGTGGAATTCTTACTTTGTACATTGGATATGTTACTATAAGCAAGTATTAGTTTTATCATTTTAAACAAAAGATTAAAAATCAGAAGACATACTTTTAAAATAAACCAGTAGTTGGTATTATAATAGAATAATCCACAGGTGAGATTTAGAAGGTCTTGGACTTGGACCTGTCTTCTTTAAGTAGTCGTCTCTGTCTCCCACCTCTGAACACAGACCTTACCCTGATATTTCTTATTCTCCTTTCCATTTCCTTTCGACTATGTATGCTCCTGATTGATCTCTTCTTTTTATGATTACCACACGTATTTTAAAATTTCCACCTGCTCACTGCTTCTCGTCATCCTTCTGTAGTCTTTCCCCTGTTACATGGCCATATTTCAAAACTTTTAATGCCACATTTGCCTTGTCTGCATTACTGTCAGTTTCATTTGGTAATTCACTATGCAATAATTTCTTTTACAAAACAGAGAATACTGAAAAGTGTTTATATGTTCTGAATTTCTTTTAGATGGGGAGAATAGTCCAGAAATAAAAAAATCAAACCAGAATATTTCTGATGAAAATAAAACCTGTGACATGCTAATGGAGAGATTAACAGGAGACAGTTTCTGGTATTCCATCTTAGGTGGACTCTGGGATTTTGATTACCGGTTAGAATCTAACCAAGAAAACCAGCAGAGACATTTAGGACAAGTATCTTTCACCCACAAAAAGATCACACAGGAGAGAAGCCTTGAATGTAATAGATTTGGGGAAAACTATAATCTGAACTCAAACCTTGTTATGCATCAGAGAATTCCTTCAATTAAAATACCCGTTAATTCTGACACACAAGGAAATAGCATCAAGCATATTTCAGACTTCACTTACTATCAGGGAAACTATGTAAGAGAGAATCCTTATGAATATAATGAGTGTGGAAAAATCTTCAATCAACATATTCTTCTTACTACTCATATTCATACTGAGGGGAAACCCAGTGAGTGTGGGAAGGCCTTCAGCCAAAACTCATCTCTTACTCAACCTCAGATAGTACTCACAGGAGAGAAGCCCTATAAGTGTGATGAATGTGGGAAAAGATTCAGCCAGAGGATACATCTTATTCAACATCAGAGAATTCACACAGGAGAAAAACCTTTTATATGCAATGAATGTGGGAAAGCCTTCCGTCAACATTCATCCTTTACTCAACATCTGAGAATTCATACTGGAGAGAAGCCCTATAAATGTAATCAGTGTGGTAAAGCCTTTAGCCGTATCACATCCCTTACGGAACATCATAGACTTCATACTGGAGAGAAACCTTATGAATGTAGTTTTTGTGGGAAAGCCTTCAGCCAAAGGACACATCTTAATCAGCATGAGAGAACTCATACAGGAGAGAAACCCTATAAATGTAATGAATGTGAAAAAGCCTTCAGCCAGAGTGCACACCTTAATCAACATAGGAAAATCCATACTCGGAAGAAATTATGTGAATATAATAAATGTGAGAAAACCTTAAGCCACAGTCCTTCACTTACTCCTCAGCACATAACTCAGAATTTTTAGCTTTGTTCTGGTGGGGGTGGGGGTGGGGTAAGGGACTCATATGAATATATAAATGTAGGAAAATTTTGGTCAGACCTTTTCATCCCATGCAATATCATATTATTCATAGTGGGGAGAAAGGTTATAGATAAACTTTTAATGTGTAGAAGCCAAATAAATTTAGACCTTAAACTAGTAGCATATTATATTCCCAGGACAGGTTATAAGTAATGAAAGTAATTTATTTTATAAACAAGATTATATGAGGAGTCATGTTTTAAAACTTTTCTTAATGACCAGAAATCGTGTAGGCAATAACCTATGATTATTCCCCTCTGATTTTTATAGCATAAAGTTTTTAAATTATATAAACACTGATTAATCAAGGCAATGATATAGTATAACCAGTCACATAAACTTGAAATCAATAGAAAAGAGCAATATTCCTTAAACTTCAGTCATTTGTATGCATCCTTTACAGATTTTACCATATTCAGTGTTTACTTAATATTTTCCTTTAAAGGGACTCAGAATTTTTAGCCTTGTCCTAGGAAATATTATTTATGGAAATTGTGAGTTCTGTATGCTAATTATATTCTAATTTCCATCAAAATAAATATATAACTTTGAAATTGAAAATATCCATTGGTGTACCACCTAAGTCTTCTGACCATTTTTTGAGAAGCCATGTGAGAGGATATGGCAGTATTATGTTATTTTTTAGGAATCCTTGCATTATTTTCATCAAACGGGTCCTAGGATCTTTAAGAAGAGTCTTGGAGGAGACTGAGGGTCATATTGATGAACTTTGAAAAGTGATTCAGAGAAGTCTACTTTTCTATCCTATTATTCTAGTTTTAAAGTTCCCTGTAGCAAACATAGATTTTTGAACTAAAATTGTCATTTCTGTTATTACTGCAGATTTGAATAGAGAGGAGGTTTTATTTTATAATGACAGGGGCTTTATAAGAATTTCTACACCTCCCTGCACCACTGTGGAAGACAGAAGTAGGGTACCATAAAAGAGGATGAGTGGTGGTGCCACACTGAGGCTAAGAACCAGGGAAGAGCCTTACTGGCTTATATAAACAACTAAGGAAGTGTTACTAATTGGCTTATTAATTCATTTTATTTATTGAAATATATTTATGTACCACCTTTTTCCAAAAAGAATTTAAGGTGTTTTAATTTGATTTTTATGATTACTGCCTTGTTTGACAGAAATCACTTTTTGACATTACAAAGCATCATAAATATAAACTGTCACAAGCCATGAATAGCTGCAACTAGGAGGCTGCTTCTGTTTCTTGGCTTTCTGTTTTTCTCTTGGTCTTCTCAGGCACGGCTGAAGAAGCCATGAGGCTAAGTAAGAATGCAGTCCCCTTGCTTTCTCACCTTCCTTCTAACATATCTCCCAGCTCAAGACTTGCCATTTTTTTTTCCCCTGTGAAGGACTAGATATCATAGGCCTTAAGTGAAAGCTGGAATGATTTAAATTTTTTTTAAACTTAAAACACTAAAAACCAAGAAAGTAATGAAATGAATTCATTTCACCATGGAAGTTAAACTTTTCAAAGTACATTTATGTCCCATGCATCAGTGGATGAAATAGTTAATAAAACCCCAAGTTACTGTAGTCATGGAGGATTTCTAATCATATTTTGTGTTCAAATATCTGTGAAATGGAGATCCATTGTCAAGACAGATAAGTTCTGGAAGTATCTTTTCACCAAAAGGATCTACATTGAACATTTATTTACCCTAAGGAGGCAGAGTATAAAGCACTCAGGTTTCAGGAAGAGAGAGTGAGCCAAGGCAAAGTCTCAGATAGCAGAGGTATGTATGAAAAGAATTAATGGTTAATTACAATTGGTGAAGCCTTTGATCAAAGTTTAATTTTGCAACCAGAGGGGGGAAAAAGCTGAATAATCCACAAAGAGTGCTAAGGGCTTCAATACAAGGCAGTGTATCTCAGCACAGGGGAAGAAGGAGAGCAGTGTGGGATTTTTCAGGAGAGGATCAGCAGAATTTGGACAATTTCAGAAAAGAGGAGTCGGGACTGAAGAAGACCAGTTGGCCATGGATTTTCAGCAATGCTTCATAAATAGGAATTATAAAATTAGAAGCCTATTATATATCCTTAGGGTCATAAATGATTATGCTTATGTTAACTGTACAGTAAACTGTGTCATTCTGGTGCGAATTCGTTCTCATGTCCTTTGTTGTCTTCAACATGTTCCAAGTTACGTGAATCCTAAGTATATTTATTACATCAAAATTCAAGGAAGCCATAGGAGTAGTACTCATTCAGAAACCTGTTGGTATGATTTATTTCTGTCTAGGAGGGCAAGATATTACCCTTTTACATATATTAATTCATTTGGTCCATCCAACCAGGTGTTGTTGCCTTTTTTTTTATGAAAAGAGATACTTCAGCTTAGACATAATAATAAGTGATTTATTATTCAGGGTTTCTTGGACTGAAATGTCACTAGAACATGGATCATGTTACTCTAATCCAGTGGATACAAACAGTGCCTGGAACAGTGTTTTATAGCGCTCTGAAAACATTTGATAACTATATTAAAATTAATAAAATGAGAGATTGCTTCTCAACACAAAAATTCATATGACTCTTTCTCTGAACCTCAGAGTATAAAAGGATTACCATGTTGATAGATTCTCTTATGTCCAAAGGGCTTATGGGTTGGAGAAAAATACTCATCTGGATTTTGATTAATGTTCAATTTATTAATTTAAGGAAACAACTTTAAGCAGCCAACATTCCTCTAATTATTCATAGATGTGCAAATAATAAAAACTTAAGAATTTCTAAAATTAGATATCCCTACTCTTTTAAACACTGATCAGATTTAAACACATGTAAACATTTCATTAAAATCACAAACCTGGGGCTTCCCTGGTGACACAGTGGTTAAGAATCTGCCTGCCAATGCAGGGGACACGGGTTTGAGCCCTGGTCCGGGAAGATCCCACATGCTGCAGAGCAACTAAGCCTGTGCACCACAACTACTGAGCCTGCACTCTAGAGCCCGTGAGCCACAACTACTGAACCTGCGTGCCACAACTACTGAGGCCCACGTGCCTAGAGCCTGTGCTCCATGACAAGAGAAGCCACTGCAATGAGAAGCCTGTGCACCGCAACGAAGAGTAGCCCCTGCTCGCCACAACTAGAGAAAGCCCACGCGCAGCAATGAAGACCCAACATAGCCAAAAATAAATAAATAAATAAAATAAATTTTTTTTTTAATTTCAAATTTTATTAAGTGCCTTAAACACATTAAGAAACAGGTAAGAGGTACCCAGATTATAAAAATAATTATACTGAAACTAGTTATAAAAATGTTAACTCTGGGCTTCCCTGGTGGTGCAGTGGTTAAGAATCCACCTGCCAGTGCAAGGGACACAGGTTCGAGCCCTGGTCCGGGAAGATCCCACATGCCGCAGAGCAACTAAGCCTGTGCTCCACAACTACTGAGCCTGCACTCTAGAGCCCATGAGCCACAACTACTGAAGCCCGCATGCCACAACTACTGAAGCCCGCGTGCCACAACTACTGAAGCCCACGTGCCTAGAGCCCATGCTCCGCAACAAGAGATGCCACCACAATGAGAAGCCCACGCACCGCAACAAAGAGTAGCCCCCACTCGCCACAACTAGAGAAAGCCCGCGTGCAGCAGTGAAGACCCAACACAGCCAAAAATAATAAATAAGATAAATAAATTTATAAAAAAATAAAGTTAAATCCATGGACTTGATGTTTTTATCCTTATTTGAATATTTTCCCAGGGTTCCAATTTTCATATGTTCCTAGGTTTACGTTTTTCTACCAGGTATTATTTGTCTACCTTCCTCAGATTTTAGTAATCTTATTCAACCCAAAATAAGAATAATACTGTAACAGACAAATTAAGTTGAAATTTATGGGTTAGCAACTGTCTGATCTTTAGTTAGGTCATCCATAAAACCTAGTTGCACAGACCAAATATTCTTTGGTCTCGTTTTATAACAAAATATCACTTGTTATGTCATGGGACATTTTAAGACCCTACTTTTATATAGATTGTAAATTTTTGACACTTGAACTTTCCCATAACCATCTGGCCCATTGGCCTGTCATTATGGTATGGTGATCTCGCTGGCTAGCATTATTTAAAGCTTTTATGTGCATCATTAGGATAATTAATGAGGCTATCCAGCTCCTTCCGGAAGAATGCAAGTTTTGTTGTCAGTTTTCCTCTATAGAACATTTGGCTACTTCATCATTTTGCAACATACTGCAACCAACTTTCTGCTTGTTTACTGTATGTAACTGTTAGAGGTGATTAACTGTTGAACCATCTTTCTACTTGGTCTGAGTGACTGTCTGGTTCTTCCTATTTCTTGATATGGTTCAGCATTTTCCAGGATTATCTGGCTTGCCCAACACCCCTTTGTTTCTTCTTAACTGATTAAACAGGAAGAAATACATATATACACATACATCCATGTATATATACGTATATATGTACATATGCACATACTTAGCAAGAAATATATATATTACTTTTTAAGATCAGTATTGAATTATACATACCATTTACAATCATCCTTTTATGACTGTTATAACACACTTGACTTGAGCATCATTATGAACACTTGGCCTCTTACATAACAAGCAATTCCAATTAACCATTTTTTTAAATGCTCAAATTGTGAGAACTTGGCCAGTGGAAGCTGCATTAAGCTAGCTTCTTTTAACTCTTAGCACTTTATCTGTTATCTGTAAACACGTTCTCATTTTTGGAGGTAAGGTGGTCCAAACCCATTCCAAAATTTTCACTGCTCCAAGATGTGAGTATACTGTCTTTTTTTTTGGCCGCACTCAGCATGTGGGATAACAGTTCCCCAATCAAGGATCGAACCTGCACCCCATGGAGTGGAAGTGTGGACTCTTAACCACTAGACTGCTGGGCAACTCCCAAGATGTGAGAATAGATTCCTCCTCCACCTCCTGCCCAAAGAGTTTTAGATTCTTTTAGTACAGAGTAGTAGAAAAGACCAAAATCTGGGCACTAGGGATGTCTGTGACCATTGAGAGTGAGCAAAAGTCCTGCTGCTACTACAGCCACTGCTATCAGGACACTTTTTAGACTTTATAGAAAACCTTCAAAACTCCACCAAAAGCTATTAGAACTAATAAATGAATTCAGTAAAGTTGCAGGATACAAGATTAATATACAGAAATCATTGCATTTCTATACACTAATGATCTATCAGAAAGAGAAATCAAGAAAAGAATCCCACTTACAATCACATCAAAAAGAATAAAATACATAGGGAATAAATTTAACCAAGGATGTTAAATACCTATACTCTGAAAACTATAAGATACTCATGAAGGAAAGTGAAGATGTTACAGATAAATGGAAAGACGCCCCGTGTTCATGAATTGGAAGAATTCATATTGTTAAAACGTCCATACTACCTGCAGAAAACTATAAGAAGACACTGATGAAAGAAATTAAAGTTGATACAAATAGATGGAGAGATATACCATGTTCTTGGATTGGAAGAACCAACATTGTGAAAATGACTATACTACCAAAAGCAATCTACAGATTCAGTGCAATTCCTGTCAAACTACCACTGGCATTTTTCACAGAACTAGAACAAAAAATTTCACAATTTGTATGGAAACACAAAAGACCCTGAATAGCCAAAGCAATCTTGACAAAGAAAAACGGAGCTGGAGTAATCAGGCTCCCTGACTTCAGACAATGCTACAAAGCTACAGTAATCAAGACAGTATGGTACTGGCAGAAACAAAAACAGAAATATAGATCAATGGAACAGGATAGAAAGCCCAGAGATAAACCCATGCACATATGGTTACCTTATTTTTGATAAAGGAGGAAAGAATATACAGTGGAGAAAAGACAGCCTCTTCAATAAGTGGTGCTGGGAAACTGGACAGCTACATGTAAAAGAATGAAATTAGCAGACTCCCTAACACCATACACAAAAATATACTCAAAATGGATTAAAGACCTAAATGTAAGGCCAAACACAATCAAACTCTTAGAGGAAAACATAGGCAGAACACTCTTTGACGTAAATCACAGCAAGATCCTTTTTGACCCACCTCCTAGAGAAATGGAAATAAAAACAAAAATAAACAAATGGGACCTAATGAAACTTAAAAGCTTTTGCACAGCAAAGGAAACCATAAGACGAAAAGACAACCCTCAGAATGGGAGAAAATATTTGCAAATGAAGTAACTGACAAAGGATTAATCTCCAACATATGCAAGCAGCTCATGCAGCTCAATATCAAAAACACAACCCAATCCAGAAATGGGCAGAAACAGACATTTCTCCAAAGAAGATATACAGATTGCCAACAAACACATGAAAGAATGCTCAACATCATTAATCATTAGAGAAATGCAAATCAAAACTACAATGAGATATCATCTCACACCAGTCAGAATGGCCATCATCAAAAACTCTACAAACAATAAATGCTGGAGAGGGTGTGGAGAAAAGGGAACTCTCTTGCACTGTTAGTGGGAATGTAAATTGATACAGCTACTATGGAGAACAGTATGGAGGTTCCTTAAAAAACTAAAAATAGAACTACCATATGACCCAGCAATCCCACTACTGGGCATATACCCTGAGAAAACCATATGTACCACAATGTTCATTGCAGCTCTATTTACAATAGCCAGGACATGGAAGCAACCTAAGTGTCCATTGACAGATGAATGGATAAAGAAGATGTGGCACATATATACAATGGAATATTAGCCATAAAAAGAAACAAAATTGAGTTATTTGTAGTGAGGTGGATGGACCTAGAGTCATACAGAGTGAAGTAAGTCAGAAAGAGAAAAACAGATACTGTATGCTAACACATATATATGGAATCTAAAAAAAAAAAAAAAATCATGAAGAACCTAGGGGCAGGACAGGAATAAAGATGCAGACCTACTAGATTATGGACTTGAGGACACCGGGAGGGGGAAGGGTAAGCTGGGAGAAAGTGAGAGAGTGGCATGTACATATATACACTACCAAATGTAAAATAGATAGCTAGTGGGAAGCAGCCACATAGCACAGGGAGATCGGCTCAGTGCTTTGTGTCCACCTAGAGGGGTGGGATAGGGAGGGTGGGTGGGAGGGAGTCGCAAGAGGGAAGAGATATGGGGATATATGTATATGTATAGCTGATTCACTTTGTTATAAAGCAGAAACTAGTACACCATTGTAAAGCAATTATACTCCAATAAAGATGTTAATAAATAAATAAATAAAATGTCCATACTACCCAAAGCAATCTACAGATTTAATGCAATTCTTGTCAAAATACCCATGACATTTTTCACAGAACTACAACAAATAATTCTAAAATTTGTAGGGAACCCAAAAGACCCTGAATAGCCAAAGCAATCTTGAGAAAAAAGAACAAACCCAGAGATATCAGTCTCTCTGACTCTAGGCTACAAAGCTACAGTATGAAACAGTATGGTCCTGGCACATAAACAGACATACTGACAAATTGAACAGAATAGAGAGCCCAGAAATAAACCCGCACGGTTATGGTCAATTAATCTATGACAAATGTGGCAAGAATATACAATGGAGAAAAGATGGTTTATTCAAGAAGTGGTGCTGGGAAAACTGGACAGCCACCTATAAAAGAATAAAAGTAGATCATTTTCTCACACCATGAAAACAAATAAACTGGAAATTATTAAAGACCTAAATGTAAGACCTGAAACCATAAAACACCTAGAAGGAAATATAGGCAGAACACTCTTTGACATAGGTCTTAGAGATAATTTTTTGGATCTGTCTCTTCAGGTAAGCGAAATGAAAGCAAAAATAAACTATGGGACAGAATCAAACTTAAAAGCTTTTGCACAGCATAGGAAACCATCAGCAAAATGAAAAGGCAAGTGTCCATGGACAGATGAATCGGTAAAGAAGATGTGATATATATATATATATATATATATATATATATATATATACACAATAGAATACTACTCAGCCATAAAAAGAATGAAATATTGCCATTGCAGCAACATGGATGGACCCAGAGATTAACATACTAAGTGAAGTAAGTTAGACAGAGAAAGACAAATGCCATATGATATCACTTATATGTGGAACCTAAAAAAATGATACAAATGAACTTATTTACAAAACAGAAACAGACTCACAGACATAGAAAACAAACCTACAGTTGCTAAAGGGGAAAGAGGGAGAGGAGGGATAAATTGGCACTTTGGGATTAACATATACACACTAGTATATATAAAATAGGTAATCAACAAGGACCTACTGTATAGCACAGGGAACTCTACTCAATATCTTGTAATAACCTATAATTTAAAAGAATGTGAAAAAGAATCTGAATCACGTTGCTGTACACCAGAAACTAACAGACATTGTAAATCAACTATACTTCAATTTAAAAAATTCGACAACACATTAAAAGGATCAAAAAACATGATCAAGTGAAATTTATCCCTGGGATGCAAGAATGGCTCAACATACACAAATCAATCAATGTTATATACCACATTAATAGAATGAAAGATAAAAATCATATGATCCTCTCAATGGATGCAGAAAAAAACATTTGACAATCCTGTCATGATTTAAAAAAAAAATCAACAAATTGGGTATAAAAGGATATACTAAAGATATCTGCATTCCTATGTTTATTGTAGCATTATTCACAAAAGCCAAGATATGGAAATAACCTTAGTAGCGTCTGATGAATGAATAAGGAAATGTCATATATATATATATACACAAAATACTATATATATTTTTACATTATATATATGTGTATATATTATATAAATACAAAATGCCATCTCTATATATGTATATACAAAATACCATAGACTGTGTGACTTATAAAAACAGAAATTAATTGCTTACAGTTCTGGAGGCTGGGAAATCCAAGATCAAGGTGCCAAAACATCTGTGTTTAGTAAGGGCCCACTTCCTGGTTCATAGACAGTGCCTTTTTGCTGTGGCCTCACATGGTGGAAGGGAGCAAGGGAGTTTTCTTGGAGTCCTTTTGTAAAAGAGATTGAATCCCATTAATGAGGGCAAAGCCTAATCACTTCCTCAAAGCCCCATCTCCTAATACCTTCACAGTGGAGGTTAGGATTCAAGATAAGAATTTTGGAAGGACACAAACATTCATACCATAGCAGTGACCGTGAGGAGAAATGGATGAGAAGGATGGGTTGGGGGGCAGGGGGTGGAGGGAGAGAGAGAGGGAGATTGAATATGAGAATGAATAATGTGTATATGGGTTATGGGTTAGGGGACTGGATGGCTGACCAAGAAGCTTATCAAATGTGGGGATGTTTTACTCCTTTCCAAAAGCATCTGATTCATGTCTTACACCATGGATGATTGCATGTTGTTTTCCATTTTCTAAGTGCCGACTTCTTTATAGGTTAAATTTTTGTGGGTGCAAGCAGCCGACATTGACTCTGGTTGTATAGTCTCTTCAGGACACCTCCCTCAGGATGCAGTAGCTCCAGGATGCAGTAGCTCCAGTCACCTCCCATCTTCCGATCAGAGCACTCAAGATTCATATTCCTGGAAGGTAATTTGATTGGTTCAGCTTGGGCCTCGTGCTAAACAAAGATGGAGGACCTTGATTGGCAGACCCATTGAAGCTACAGACACAGGAATTCACAAAGGCAAATCAAGGTGTTTTTACCACAGCAGACAGGACACTAAGGGGTGATAGGACTCAATCGGATCCCCCAAAATGGTATAAAGATTCCCTTAAACTGAGGACATTGAAGATACAGCAGATGCAGAAAAAAAGCCTTTTCAGAGTGTCCCTTACCTGACTAAAGGCAGAGCTTTCTTTTTTTTAAGACAATAGCTATTCTTTTAATATATATTTTTTTAATATTTATTTATTTTGGCTGGGCCGGGTCTTAGTTGAGGCATGTGGACTCCTTAGTTGAAGAAAGTGGGATCTAGTTCCCTGACCAGGGATCGAACCCGGGCCCTCTGCACTGGGAGCAAGGAGTCTTACCCACCGGACCACCAGGGAAGTCCCTAAAGGCAGAGCTTTCTAAGAGTGAAGCTGCCGTAAATCCCCTCTCAGGGGAGATTCCAGCTAGGAAGGAGACCAACAAACCACTGGCACCAGGATGAGAAATTGTACAAACAAACATTATCACAAACTGTTATACTTTCCATTGTTCTCATAAAAGCCCATTTGCCTTTCCTAAAAGTCCACTTGTTTTCCCAGAGGCCCTTTCTCCCTCCTTCCTTCCCCCTATTAAGTTGGTATATAATCTCCTATTTCTAGTTGTCCAGGAGTCTCTTCATCTGCTCCTGCATGCATGTGTAAATAAACCTTGTCTTTTCCCCTGGTAATCTATTATCACTTCATTCACAGCCCCACCATCGACACTCAAACCTGTTAGTAGAGGGAAAGTTTTCCTCCCAATGAGGGTTGGAAAAAATCAGCAGATGTTTTTTCTACCTTCGATGGTGTGAAATGATTTGATTTGCATTTTAAAAAATCATTCTGGGGGGACTTCCCTTGTGGTCCAGTGGTAAAGAGTCCACCTTACAATGCAGGGGACACAAGTTCAATACCTGGTCAGGGAACTAAGATCCCACATGCCATGGGGCAACTAAGCCCACACACCACAACTACTGAGCTCGCGCACCTCAACTACAGCCCACATACCTGAAACTACAGAGCCTGTGTGCACTGGAGCCTGCGTGCCACAACTAGAGAGGAGAAAACCCACACACCACAACTAGAGAGATGCCCGCGCTGCAATGGAAGATCCCGCATGCCTCAGTGAAGATCCAGCGTGCCGCACGCAACTAAGCCCCGACACAGCCAAAAATAAATAAATAAATAATAAATCTTAAAAAAAAATCACTCTGGGTATGTCATTGGTTTTATTAACAAGAGAAGTTGTAAGTTTGCTTGTAAAAGAAAGGAATTTAAGTTCATAGCTAGAGGGAAATATGATATCCCAGAAAAGTTTTTGTTCATATGAAATAATGCATATAAAGTTATTACCACTTTCATTGAAAATTAGCTCCCATTTCTGAAATTTCAAACATCTCACACTCTCCCCACCACCATCTCTCCTTTTAAATTCACTTACTAAGCGTGCCCTTGGCCTTAATTCTTTATCTGAATGCACACTTCAATCTAATGACACCACTTTTTTTTTTTAACCCTCCATTAGCTCCCTCCTAGTCTAGCAATTCCCTAACAAGAGCCTAATACGTTCCCAGCCTTCCTTCTAACTGAGAAGGCGTCAGCAGCAGCCCACATGTATATGTACCCACACCAGACTTCTCTCCATCTCACAGATATTGAAAATTAACACCTAAAGTCATACTAGACATAAAAATCTCCCGAACTTTATCTTAAATACAACTGCTGGGGGTGGAAACGCTTAAACATTTCAGTCTCACCATTTGGCAGCGTCCAATGTTTCAACGTTTGATGAATGAATTAAGTTCCTTTGATTTGGAAGGCCTTGTCCAATGCCTGGGAGCTCAACAGAAAAAGAGGGAAACTAAGTGGAACGGATAAAGGAAAGGCCGAATCCCAGCGCTCCAGCCGCCGTGCAGGTATGGAAAGCAGAGGTCAAGGTCTCCAGTTAAGCCGCAGCCCGCGGCTCCTTTTAAGGGGGAGTGGGCGGAGCCCTGACTTTAACCCCGCCCAGGACTGAGGGGACTCGCGGCCAATGAGAGGGCGGTCCGGGGTGGAGCGACCTGCGAGCGACGTGACGCCATCACGCTCCGGTCGGCGCTCCGCAGGGCGTGCGCCGGAACAGTGGACTCTGTGGGTGACCGACGCCGCGCTTCGCAGTAGAAGTGGGGTGGATTTTGGAGACCGAAGCACCGCGTCGTGGGAGCCCTCCAGGCGAGTCGAGTCGAGTCACCCGACCTCGGGGTTTTAGGGGCGAAGGGATCAATCATCCCCAACCTTCCTCAGGCTGGGCGGCATGGACTCACTATTAATTGATCTCGAAAGCAATGCCAAGTCAAGGTCTCCGGTGGAGAGGACACCACGGCCTCGCCGCGTCGGCCTTTCGTGCCCCAAGTAGCCAGGCTGTGAGCGTCTGGGGAGAGGCAGCCCAGCGGGATGGAAAGCAGTAGGGACGCCAGTAAAGGCCAGTGTTTATTAGCGCTGTCGGGCACCTTACAGGTTAAATCTTCAAACCACTCCTGTGAGTAAGCCCTGTTGTTATTCCCATTTTGCAGAGGGGGAAACTGAGGCTTAGAGAGGTTAAAATTACAGCTTTGTAAACAGTATAAAGATGGGAAGTTGAGTAGTTAAGGAAATAATGAAATGTTTAAGCAACTCTAAAGCGGTGATTCCAGAGGGCCAACAAAAGCTGTTTCTGAACTGGGGCAGTTCTAGTGACAAAATTCATTTGGTGAGTCACAACCATCAGAATATTTAACTTTGGAATTTGTTTACAGGTGACCAAAGACACACAATGTCAATAGCTCGTTCATCTGTCCATGCCAAATGGGTCGTGGGGAAGGTGATTGGGACAGCAATGCAAAAAACTGCTAAAGTGAGAGTGACCAGACTTGTTCTGGATCCCTATTTATTAAAGGTAAGGAACATCTCTATTTTCAGGTGGCATTGATAAATCACCAACATGTTCTGGGTTCTGAGCAGAAAAACACTCCTCTGTCAGTAAAGGTGCATTGAGCATCTGCTGCACACCAGACATTGTGCTGGTCTGTGGGTGTAACAAATGGTTCACACTCACACTTTAGAGACACATAGAGTTGATTTCAATTCAGTCTGTTAACTGCTGTAGTCATTCTATGTGCAACGTACTGTGGGAGCAGAAGACTCCTCATTCTTCCTTCCCAGGTTGCTGAGGAGAGCATTCTTGATTATATAAGACATATGAGCTGAAGCTTCAAAAGGATTTTATCCAGAGAACCAGTTGGGGGGCAGGAGGAGTTGGGGGAGTCATTCCATGATGAATAGTTTGTGGAAGTTCTTTTAGCCATGTATTTACCTAAAACAAATAGACTGCTAGTTATTTCGGCAGCAAAAATGGGTTTATTCGGGATCAGCAGAGAATTGCAATTCAGGGTCTGCAACATGGTGAGCCACATGCGAGTCTCCCACAAAAGTGGTGCGGTGACCGGGGAGGAGAGTGCTTTTACAGAGGGGAAAGGAAGTTGGGAGGGGATGGTAAACAAAGAGTCCATGACTCTTGACTGGCTGAGTTGTTGCCGGGAAAGAAGAGCATGTCTTTCTTCCTGTTGAGCTCTGCTATCATCACAGGGTGTGAGAGCTTCCCCTTCTGGTCTCCTGACTCTGTTTAATTGAGGTTTCTGTTTATTAATTCCTTACACATGAAAGGGCATGACATTCTAACTGGAGCAGCAAGTGGTTCGGCAATGTTGAGCCCAGAGCTTGGCATTAAGTAGATGCTGTTGTTGAATGAACGTGAGAAGGATTGGAGCTGGAGTATGAAGGGTCTTTTATGTTGTGTTTTGGATTTCATCCTATAAGCAGAGGAGACAGAGACAGTGATGAGGAGTGGAGGTAAGGAAATGGGTAAGGAGGTTATTGCAGATGTCTAGGATGGAAATAGTAAAGAACTGAACAGTCCTGGGAGCAGTGAGGATGGAGTGGAAAGAGATTTCAGGAAAGAAGGGACAGCGTCCTTGATTTGGTAGATGCGCAAGGGAGGGAGGGGGAAGTGCCAAGGCTGTTTCTGCATTCAAGGTTGCGCACACTGGTGGGCACAAATGCTGTTTGTTATCTAGGATCAAAAACACAGGAGCCTTTTCAGGGTCTCGTGATGCTGGGGAGATCCCAGCCGGGAGAAGGACGTTGGATCTCATTGTCCTCCTAGCCCTTCGACTCTCCCTCAAAGCCTCTCAATGAAATGGCTTGATCCCAAAGCAAAAACAAAAACAAGACCACAGGAGCAAGTTGAAGAGTGATGGCATGATCATTGGCCTTAGAATCAGAGGGCCTTAGTTTGAGTACTGGCTGTTGGTTACTAGCCGTGCACATTACTTCACCTCCTTGAGCTTGTTTTTCTCATCTGTTAAATGGGACTACATGCTGTGGCAGGGTTGTCTTGAGGAATAGGTGATGCTAGTTCTCATCTGTGGCTTGTTTGTAATACTTTGAGTGAGGCATGAAGCTAAGTGCTTTATGAACATTATAATGTTTCATTCTCTTGATAACTTTAGAGGCGCAGGCATTGGAGCCTCATTTTATGGTGGGGGAAAAAAACCTGAGCTTGGAGTAGTTAAGTGACTTGTCCCAAATCACACAGCTAGTGGTGAGATAGTGTGTTTTTAGGCTGGAGAGAAGGCTCTACTGGGAAGGAAGAGTTTAAATATTGTAGAAGAGGATGATAATTGATAGAGCAAGGGTACTGCAGGAAATAAGCAGGAGAGCTCCAGACAAGATCAGTTCTAGAAAAGTCATTGCCGTTTTCCAGAAATTAAGCAGCTAATTTTTGCATTGGAAGTCTCCATAAGTATGTTATCTATTTTTCCCCCCAAGTTCCAGCTTGTTTTCTGCACATTCCTTTTTCAGATTTTGTACTGCATTGCCAGGTCATGGATGGGAACTACTGATTTGTTTCCTCCTTCTCTCAACAGTATTTTAATAAGCGAAAAACCTACTTTGCCCACGATGCTCTCCAGCAGTGCACCGTTGGAGATATTGTGCTTCTCAAAGCTCTACCTGTCCCGAAAACAAAGCACGTGAAGCATGAACTGGCTGAGATAATTTTCAAAGTTGGACAAGTCATAGATCCAGTGACCGGAAAGCGCTGTGCGGGAACCACCTACCTGGAGAGTCCAGTCAGTCTGGAAACCACCCACCTAAGCAAAAACCTGGAAAAACTCGATCTCTCTTCAACACAGTGAAGGAGGATTGGAAAACGGAGCCAAAAGGGAAGGATTTCTAAGTTTGCTTTATGGAAAAATTTTTATAAGTTTCCTCACAAACCGTCCAGTTTCTCTTCTGGTATTTATGAACTAGCTAAAAGTAAATGAAGTAAAGGCCTTGTTATAATTTTTCATAAAGTTTTACAGTCATGTTTCAAATTTCCTTCTCAGCGAACATACTTTCCTGTTACACTAAGTGTGCCTAGCAGTGCGCTGTATTGTTTGTAAGCTCACTGTTTTAGAAGGTGGTTTTTTGTTTTTGTTTTCATTCAGAGGAATCTGGAATTTATCTTAGAACTTTTATTTTGGGAGAAGAAAACCTTTTGGTATCATAAACAGATAAGACCACATTAAGTGTATATTTATTTTTGATACTATATATTTGAAACTAAGTTTTTCTCTGATTTAGCCAATTCCAAATGGAAACAATTAACATGCTGGGGTCAGATTTTATCAGACTAAAGTCTGTATTAATAAGCATGTTGACACGCAGAAAATAAAACTAAAATTCTGTCACTTTTCTCCTGTATCCTAGGCTAGATTAAATAGGAATGAGTTCTTAAAATCTGATACATTGATGAAGTTGTAGAATTTCTCACATGCATTTGAGTTGGAGAGTTTCAGAGTTTTATTGCTGTTCATTGATAAACTGTGATAACTTAGGTTTTGACCTGATGAAACACTGAGCTATATATTTCAGTTTTCTGGCTCCCAGAAGGGACTTGGAGTATATTTCAACCTCAACAAATATGTCAGTAGTTGAGTAATAACCACAGGCACTGCCCCCTCCTCAGGGCTTATAATCTCCTGGGCAGGTATGCACAAGTATCTTCATGACAAACACAGAAACACATGGGTGGGGGAGAAATTGGGGTAACTTTCCAGAAAAAAAATTAGAGAATGCTAGAACTGAATCTTAAAGGAAGAGTCTCCAGGTTAGTGCATGAGGCATTTGGAAAGGGCATTCCAGGCAGAGGAAGGGGGTGTAAAGTCCTCGAAGGATGAGAGGAAGGACTGTAACCAAGGGGTTTTGGAAGCGGTGAGCACTGCTGGGACATTGAACAAGCGTGGAACTCAAGTAGAGCAATAGGCAGGAATTGTAAGTGGTGGTGGGTTGTTTAATGTTTTAAAGAGTGATATAACTAGATTCACATTTCTGTAAAGTAATAGCATCTGTGTCAGGAATAGACTGGAATGGGAAGGATTGGAGGTAGGGAGACAGTGACCTGTTCAAAGATTGGTCCTAAGACATAAACTGAGTTGGGCAGGGAAGATGAAAAGAAGATAGATGATGTTCCGAAGTAGAACTCTCAGGGAGGATGAACCGAAGGGAGGCATCTTAGACTGTCTGCCAAGGGGGTGGCTATGCGGTACTGGTTATCCTGGAGGGGAGAGGACACCAGTCCAAGCTATCTCTAAAAGCTCAAATATTTTAAAGGCTTACCTATACTCTAATGTATCATTTTTATCTTAACATAGATACTTTTCCTGAAAATCTTGGTGTAAAAATTATCCTCCAGGAAGATGCCCCATGTTTATCCTATGACACTGTAACCTAAGCCACACACCTGTGAAATAAGAGTATCTCCTTCCCCCCAGTAAAAAGCACTGGGTTAATGGAACTTCAGAGCAAAATGATAGTGGAGAAAAAAGTGCAGAATGAGTGGCCTAATACTAAACACAAAAGCCAGGTCAGCAAAGAAATGACTTCCAAGTTAACATTTCAGGAAAATAGACTTGAAAGCGTTTGTCTCCTGAAATAGAGCTGAGAAATTGGGGAATATGTAAGAAAGTCACACCGACACCCCTGGCTTGAAGAGGCCCTGCCTCCCACAGTGCAGGATGGCAGACATGTCCTTTCCGCCCTGGTGAGAACTCCAGCCTCCCTTTTGCGTCTCTGCAGCCTCTATGGCCTCACGAAGCGTAAGCCAGTTGAGATCAGGAGCTGGCCTGATCAACAGCCTCTGGCCTCCTGTCCCTGTGTGCCTGGCCTCCTTTCCACCAGATGCCTCTCCCTGGTCTGGGGCAGATCCTTGTTTCCCTTCCTCCATCCACAGGATCCACTTCTGTTCTCCCTGGTGGCTCCTTGCCATATTAACATGTTCAAACATTGCCCCAGTCAGAGAAACTCCTGCACCCCTGGAGCCCCCTCCCCCTTCCTTCGCCTCCAAAGATTACCAGCTTCAGAGAACCCCTCAGTCCGCAAGCCCAGTTCCTGCCCCCAGCCCTCCTAGCAGAGACCTCCCAGCTCCCCAGTCCAGAGTGTCGTGGTCTGAACGCGGGTTGGAAAAGAATTTCCAGACACGAGGCAGAATGTAAAGAAGACAATTTATTAGAGGGAAGGGTTGCTGCCAGAACAGCGGGCCGACTTCCTAGTATGGGAGAGCCGAGCAGGAACATGTGCTATTGATCAGTTTTTATAGCAGAAAAACAAAGGACTGGTCCGAGGTGAAAATTTCGTTTACCAATTGGTCGGGGCACATATACCTTCCTTCTCTAGGGTGGGAGTGGGACAGGCCAGATGCCTTTCCTTATTTGGGACAGGTCCTGTTGCCCAGATGGGCGTCGCCCAGGTGGGCTCAGGAATTTTGTAACCATCGCAACATGGTGGGGAGGGCGAGTAAGAGTCCGGTAAGGGGTGCTAAGGGGTGTAACGCTGACACTTTTTCAGGCAGGGTCGTACTTTGCCCTTGAAGCACCTTTGTCCTTGGAGCACCACACAGGATTCGCACTGGCCTTGAAAAGCTCCCTTTGGTGGCTGGGGAGCTCCTCCCTGTTTCTCTCCCTTTTCTAACTGTCCAGCTCACTTTCTGCGGGCCTTGTCTTGGTTGCGGTTTCATGAGAACATTCGTGGCTCTTTTATCTTGCCACAGGATACATTTCCCCCCAACAGTGCCATCCTGACCCACGCCCTTCTTTAGGCTGTTTCCTTGGCCAGGCGGAGTTGTCCTCCCTCCTTCCACGAGTCAACTCTTTCCCTTGGGACTGCGCTATTGTGCCAGCTCCCCAGGGTCTATCCTCCACTTCCCAGGCACCACCGGTTACATGCTCTGCCGTCCGTGTTCCCTCCCTTCTCTCCATTTCAACACTTGACACTCCAGTCATTTCACATCCAGCCCCACCAGACTGGGACGGCTCGAGGGCGAGGATGGGGCCCAGCCCACCGGTGCTGAAATCAACGGGAACAATGGAGTCTGGAGACCACGAGAGAACCTGAGTGTGCGTCCATCCAGAATGCTTCTATTACAGCGTAATAGGCAATATATTTACACGGAGCAAAATCCAAAAGGGTATTCGGGGAGAAGCCCGCCCCCCCCCCAGCTTCGTACCCCAGCTCCTGGATTCCCCTAGGAACCGTGTTACTCTCCCCTTGTGGATCTCTCCACGTGGGTTCAAGCCTTGCCCTTGTTCCTTTGGCGCACCCTGTGTTACGCACCGAGCTCCTTTCGCTGGAGCTTAAAGTCTCAAAATAGGTTTTTCTCCGGGTTCCCTTTCTCGCGGCTCGCAGCTGCGGGACCTCAGCGCCGGCACGCACTGCGGAC